GTCTGTCTGTCTGTCTGTCTGTCTGTCTGTCTGTCTGTCTGTCTGTCTGTCTGTCCTTTTACTACTCTCTTTTGCGACTCTCTTTCATACCAAAGTAAATGATGATAAGCCGACACACAAACAAATGCACAATAAGCCTAACCATATCATTATACAATACGCGCGTGCGCGCGCACACACTCACACGCACACACACAAACATGCACACACCTACTCACACATGCGCAAATACACATAGGCCAACTCATAAACGCGCGAGCGCGCACACACAGACACACACACACGCACATAAACAAACAAAGAGAGAGAGAGAGAGAGAGAGAGAGAGAGAGAGAGAGAGAGAGAGAGAGAGAGAGAGAGAGAGAGAGAGAGAGAGAGCGCACAAACACTTACACCGCAACCAATCCTCTACCACAAAAATAAAACTTTGTCTCGCAAACATGCCAAAAAATCGTACTCCAAGAAAGCAGATAACCCCAAAACAACATCTTTTTCCCATAAACACAACAGGACTGCACTCTTGACCACAAGTGGTTATCTATTTTGGTTGGACACCCTCCACCCCATTGACCTATCCCTTACCCCTTTCTTTTCCGTCCGCATCACAATAGCCTAACAATAACTTTTCTCACGCTCACGAACAATACGTCACAGGAATGAACGTCGACGAAAACAATACGTATGCACATCATAGTGTGCAGCAAACACCCCGCCCAAGCCCACGCTGGTTTATGGTGCATGTAAACCCCACAGATTTAAATTATGATAACAATATCCTAGATGTTGATCTATCATGGCCGCCGTTCATTGCTATCTACAAAAATTTCGCTGCATATCAGTGCGAAGTGCGAAGTGTCCGAGCAGGGGACCAAATGAACGACAAAACTAAGTTTCGTGATAGGCTTAGTCTTGTGCTTGCGGCACCGTCTCCCCCTTGCTCTTCAATAATTGGTTCCAAATTGAGTCTATTGGTGTGCGCCATTGCGAACTGAAATTACGTCAGAGTGCACGATCTTGGATATTTCAATACTAGTGGTTTTAAACACCCCGCCTAATATAGCAAAATTTGATCATTTTTTGCATAATTTCTGATAATTTTCCTTTATCATTCTTTGTTGAAATTAACAAAATCGCATAATTTCACATTTTTTGGGCTCAGTTTGCATAATTTCAGAATTTTTTTGCATAAAACGACGGGGACAGGTCTATGCTTTTCTCACACTTACAGTCATTACGTCATACAGAAATAAAAACGCTGATGAAAACAAAACGTATGAGCCTACGTATCTTGGCGTGCAGCTGACACCCCACTCAAGCCTACGCCGGTTTACGCTGCACTTACGCCCTTGAAACAGCACAACGTCTTTAAGTGTTGTGAAGAGACTGTCCCTACCCATCACTGTTACGCGGGACGAAGTTACGTCAGTGTCCACTTGACGCTCTCAAAGCGGCCACGACTAGCTATAAAAGCGGGGAAATTCACAATCAGGGACAGAAACTCGGAGACAGACGAACACTCGAGTTATCTCCTGTCACTGAACATATGTGCAACTGCATGTGTTGATTTGCCTGCTGAAATTTTGGTCCAGTACGACAAAACGTCTGCAAGACTCCAGAGCTTTTTTTTTTGACTGGACTCTCATCTCCTACAAAAGAGAAGACGTGAACTCGATCCAAAAGCCATCATTCAATATGCTCAAGCTGATTTTCTCCGCGCTTTTTGTCCAAGTGGCAATCACTCACGCTCACGTCTTCAAACTCAAGAATGTAGTCGGTCAGAGTGAGCAGGTGATAGAATGTCAACAAGAACCCATGGAGCTGGGCATCGTATTGGATTCGTCTAGTTCCATCAGCTATGCCGATTTCCAGAAGAGCATCACGTTTCTCCAGAACTTCGTCAGCCAGTACGAGATCGGAGATGGCCCTAATGACGTCAGAGTGTCCATCATCACTTTCGGTAAAGGCATCTACCCTCGGGACTCCTTTGACTTGACCACATACAAGAACAAGGAGGAAGTCATCAAAGCTCTGGGGAAAGTCCCTCACAGAGTGGGTCTCTACACTTCCACTGGGGAGGCCATCGAGTACATGAGTGAGACGCAGCTGTCTAAGGCTGTGTCCAGACCGCACGCGGACCGAGTCAGCATCGTTCTCACCGACGGGAACTCACAAGTGTGGCGAAAAACCCGTGACGCGGCCCAGGCAGCGCGCGATAGCGGCATCATCATGTTCGCTGTAGGTGTAGGCGCCGTGCGTCGCGAGGAGTTGCTGAGAATCGCCGGAAACGAGAGCAGGGTCGTCAAAGTAGACAGCTATGACCAGTTGGAGGAGATCAAGACCGACCTGGCCCAGCAGACGTGTGTCAAGAAAGAGAAGCAGACGACAGTCACCACCACCACCACCACCACTCCTCTGCCACTGACAGAGAGGTGTGGGAAAGAGAATCCCGCGGACATTTATTTCGTCTTCAGCCCCGCGGATCTTGGCCTCGACGCTACCGCCTGGACCACCTCCTTGATCTCTACCACCGTCAGGCAGAAAGAGATGGAGAACGGCTTCAGATTTGGAGTTGTATCCGGTTCCTGCCCTGACGACGAAGGATTCGACCTGAACGATTATTCCACCGTGGAAGGAATTGATACGCGTCTGACAAACATGGTCCAACCACGCATGACCACCCTGATCAAACGACTGTCCACTTCTGGCTACTCCAAAGCTTCTGGCGGTCGGAGTAACGCACGTGACGTCGCTGTCCTCGTGGCGAATGACGGGAAAAAGAACAAGGGCCTGGAAGCGGAAGTACGTCATCTAATGTTGATGGGCGTGCAGGTGTTCATCGCTGACCCCACCAATTCCGGCATCAGGATTGACGGCGCCACAACTCTCACTGGACGCAGCGCCAAAAGCGCGTCAGCTGACCTGATCACAAGGCTTTGCCCAGTCCGGACCGGGGAAGCCTGAATCTTTATCTTCTAATAATTATAACTCAAACCCCGCCTCTCATCATCTCCCACCTCACCTCTCATCATCTCCCACCC